AAGAGTGGGAAGTTGTTAGAGTTGGGTCAGGGAGGAAAGGAAGACTCATTTTTTCCTTGTGCTTCTTCATCAGACCACCAGGGTCTTGCTGGCAGAGAAGCAGAATAGGTAGAAGAACAGCACAGCTAGGATCTTCATAATGTCAAACAAATGTTGCTTGAGATGAAGTCAAGACCTACTTCTTAGGTGCTCTAATAATCTTTGCTTACAATGACAGTGGGAACTGATTGTCTTTGAGCTGGTTCTCTAAATGTGTACCAAGAAATAATAATCTTTTATCAAAAGAGTAGTTGAATTTACTGGAGTCTCTCTAGTGCCCTAAGATGCCACAGTTCTTTACAGCACCATGCATTTCAGATACAGGTACTCTCTTTTACGTCATAGAGATACCTTTTTAAAAAGACATCTAGCTTTAGCAGTCTCCATTCTTGGAGGTTTTAAAAACTCAACTAGATAAAGCCCAGAGCAGCCTGGTCTGATCTCATAGCTGACCTGCTTTGAGAAGGAGCTTCTATTACAGTCTTCCTGATGTTCTGCAAAACACAAAAGTATCCTAAGATCAGGCTAGATAGCATTTAAAATCCAGAATGAAAAATATGTTGTGTGCACCACCTGCATGACTTGGTAAGAAAATGGTATGTATCACCATAAAGAGCATCCTAATAATGGGATTTGACTATAAATTCAAGTTACAAGACAGCACAAAAAACCTGTTATCTCAAAACTTTTCTTCAAAGCCAACTTAACAATTAAACACAATCCATAAAGTATTTTTACTGTAATATAACTAAAATACTTAAGCTTATAGAAGCACGTTTGTAATACACACAGTGAAAAATCTACTAAAAAATTTGTGCACAATTTTTAATGACAACTCAGTGAAAGAACACGACCTAGCAGCAAGATCTTAGGTTTGGTTTTTTGTTGTTGTTGTTGTTGTTTTGTTACAGAATTGGATTTACATGCAGCATTATTAAAAGTTAATCTATCTAGACAGAAAATATCTAAGATACCAACATCATTTGAAATGAGTCTGTTTTCACTAAGGCAGTGAGTCAAACTTTCATATTAAAAACTTACTTGAATACAAAAATAGGAATTTTAACTAACAAGCAACAAACACACACATATATATTGTCAGTTTGAAATAATAAGTTATAGAAATTCCAACTTTCATTAAGTTTAGATGGAACATCTTCATATATGACATGAAAAAATGATGTAATAGGTTCAAGTCATGGTTGACACAAAATTGAAGGCTTTCAAGATTTGTCCCAGAAGAATCCTCTCATAGTAAGCTTTGTTTCTGAAAGCGTGTTTTATCCCACAGCTTTCTACTGTGCCAAGAAACTGAATAAAACTTGTTATGAACAAATGTATTTTTTTCAAGGGGGAAAAAAAGCAAATTCATCAAACAGTTACCAAAACATCCCAAGCAGCATTTGCAGATTTTGCCTGGCATACTATTCAGTTTTTGTACTTGAATTATATTCTAAGGCTGAATAAGCTTAGAAAAGTATTCCTTTGGGCTCATTCAGACATCTAGGCATTCTACATGCTGTGCATCAGCATAATTAAACTTGCATTTAAGAGTCAGGTACAGTCACATCAGAAGTGGTTAAAAACTTACTAGCATCTACTTTCTCCCTGAACTCCATTTTATGATCAAACTATTTTTTAGTTTAAAAAAATAGAAAACATAATTGAAAAAAACCAAACCAACCAACCAACCAACCAACCAAACAAAAAAAAAAACAAAAAACAAACCTCCCACAATTTAAAGAAAATGCCAAAGGTAAAAAGACAGGAGGAAAAAAGTTAGAAAGACATCTGAGTAGACCAAGACTTAATAAAGAAAGAAAATTTGTCCTTCCTTTAGTCTTATTTTAAATATTAGATTTTATTAGCTAGCTTTTATAGGAAAAAAAAAAAAAAAAAAAAAAGTATCCCTGGACTAGCCATCATTCAGCAAAGTACTCATCAATGTCTCGGCCAAAATTATTAAAATTAAAATGCCAGCTTAGGCTACTTTTTATTTTCATTTCTTCTGGCAATATTTAATAATGATCGCAATGTTCAGGCTATTCATGACAAATATAAAGTTCCCAGGTAATAATACTTCATAATTCAACATTAACTATCATAGTTTTAAAAAAAGGCAAGAGATTTAACTGCAGGGGTTTATCTTCCTGTGCAAGGCTCATAACAGTTTAATAGTGTTCTCTCTCAAGCAGTTGACTAGAATCACACTGCTTGTGGACAGCTTTAGGACTTTCCAGTAAAGGATAAATTGAAGTAACTAGACAGACTTTTGTTCTGTTACACTTGTGGGACATGAATGGGACTTGTTAGATAAAGTTCATCTCAATACTTACAATTATTTACTGAAATAATAAGAAATTAAATTTCTAATAACAAAACACTAGTGAATTAAGTAATGCTTTTATTCAGTTTTTGGGGTATAAATGGACAGAAAACAACTATAAATACTAAAGTAGTCTACATTTACGCTGCAGAAATAATACAAGCCCAACTAATCACACCAGGACATACAAAGTGTGGAAGACGACGTATCTGTCCAGAGAGATAAGTTAGAACAAAATGAAATAGAACATTTTTCAGGTGTGCAGATTAATAATGACAAGCGAGATGTAGCCTACAGCATGAACTCCACGCTTCCGATCCTGACCTTGTTAACATCTATCAGACCCTTCCAGTTCACACAAAAACATAACAGTTCCCTCCCCCAATGACTGTTCTAACAACAACTTCAACCTCCTACCCCTACCCTCTGCTGCAATGACGCTGCACACAGCTGAGTTTGCCCAGTTGTCAGCAGCAATGCAGCTCCCACCTGGACCTCCACCTTGTGCGGTGCTGCGGCACCTTGCTGCACGAAGCTCCAGCCTCTGCCTGTGGCTTCGCCTAAGCCTGCCTTGTGCACCAGCCTACACCATCACTTTTGGACCCTCCCCTGGTGAGCAGGTCCTGTCACACCGAAGCAGAACATAGCTAAATCGAAGTAAAGAAGCTAATTTCCAACCCTAGTTCTGACAATGACTTGTAAAACATAATCATGTAACTGGTATCTTTCGAAATACAAGGAATTTAAATGGTAGCTTCCCTTGGATTGAGACAGTGTTCCTTGACTCTCAGATACATACAAAAAGGCTTCTTTTCCTTCTATACGAAAAAATGGTCAGAAAGTGTTAGCAAGCATTTTCTTCTTCGTTAAATAATAGTACATAAATGTCTTCGGTTGTTGTTTTTTCTCTTCTTTTGCTTCATTACAAGCTTGCAGCTGCCATCAGCAAGACAAAACTGATGTCTTTTGAGAATTATCATAAGAAATGTCATCATTCTATACTTAGACATATCTAAATATAGACATATCTCTAAAGACAGAGATATCACTGCAATGCCAATTCTTGCTACTGGTTTATCACCACACAAGAAACTAAAACCAGGCACTCACATTGCATACATGCAGATGAAAGAAAAAAGCCTGGTAGTTTTGTTACCTCTGTTCTACCCCATCCACAATTACAACCAGGTGGCTTTGAAAACATCTTCAGTCATGCTCCATGCAAAGCAATATCTGGTACTATACTGAGACATACCAGAAGTCATATTTACACTTACATAAATAGAGAGAAGATCTTACAGCTATCATTAAATACAAACAAAAAAACACTTACAGTCTGTGGACCTTACCAGAACTACTTTTCCCCAAAATAGTGAGAATGCCAACATAAAAGTAAAAAGTACTCTTTACAGAACACTAATAGACATGCAACATTCATAAAATTCCATCAAGATGCAAACAGTGCTCTTACAAGGCACCGTTTCTTCTAAAACATGTAATAAATGCTCTGGTACTAGTTGAAGTATAAAAATAAACACAATAATTCTGCTAAAAAATTAGTGCAAAAGTATAATTTTTTTCTCATTTGAAAAATGTAAAATATTACTTCTATTATTCTCTCACAAAAATGAGAAGTTTTGAATAATTTCATCTCTGCTCATTCCAAATTATTTGAATAATATCTAAAGTTCTGTTGTTCCCCAAATTTTGATGAAGGGCATAAAGCTGTATTGAGACCACTTGCTAAAAAAAAGTAATGCAGTATTTCTAGCTTTCCTCTAAGTTCATTAAATATTTATGTTACTCTCCATGGTCTCAGTACATAATGTGTTTTATTGAGTTCCACTTTCAGTAATTTTTAACAAATAAGATACATCCATCTTAGCTCGTTTAGATAAAAACTCTTTGTTTTTTAACAGAACACAATGGAATACAGCATTCATAGAAACATGGAATGGTTTGAGCTGCACGAAACCTTAAAGGCTCCCTAGTTGCAACTCCCCTGCCACAGGCAGGGATACCTTCTATTAGATCAGGTTGCTTCCAAGTGCAATGAATTATAATTCAGTCTGGAGCAAAACTACACATCTCCTGTGTTCTGAAAAAAAAGTTGAAAAATGTTTTCAACTATCATAACTGTGCGGTTAAAGGCTGCTTTAAACTGCATAATCCAGAAGCGGTGTAAGAGTCTTTTTCTTCCAACAAGTTATCACTGAAAGGCCGATCCAATGTTACCAGTTATTTAGATAAAAATTGCAAAAATAATTTAACTGGAATATTCTGTGAAGTGGTTATCTTTACTAAGATCTCAGTCACTGAAATCACGCTTCCTGTTAAAGGGACGCCTGTACTAATGAGCATTCAAATTCTCATGCTCCGCTGAATAAATTACAAAGTAATGCACTCCTAGTCTCATTCCAAGAGACTTCCCCATACATAATTTTGTTTCTTTGTTGTGAAAACAATGATTATATTGCAAATCTGAAAGCAGGTCCTGTATTTTGTTTTATTTTATTAAAAACCACATGATTTACTTCTTAACTGAGCTAGGTAGAAGCCATGGCATGGAAAAGGTCCCTTTAACAAGGAAGAAGACAGATATCATTTTATTAGGATGTGGGAATTGAATCTGTACCTATGGGTAAATGGCAATGCATTCTGGGTTGGTTCAGCCCTTGGTTCTGAATTCTGAGTCACTTCTGGCGTAGCTCTCTCGTCATCTGTCCCGTTAATGCTTTCTGGCGTTAAAGGAGACTGAATATCCCCTCCAGCCGATTCCTTATGTAAAACAAACAAATGATAAATTAGAATTACAAATTGGCCTGCTCATGATGACAATGTGCTAATAAGCATAACTTTAATTCTTACATAAGATACAAATTTTAGCCAATATTAACGTGAAGCTCACAGATTTCCAGTGTTCCCCACAGACATGTTTCATCATGTGATTTAATTTAGAAGCATATTATCATCAGATTCACACTGTCTTGCACAAAACACAACTGACATGATTTGCAAGCATTCAGCATCCTTCTTATTACAGATGTCTATCACTCTTGCCTGATATTCACATTCAGACACAAACCCACAACTATTCACTCCCAGGATTCTTACCCCTTACTTTATATTCTAACACAAAGAAACAAATTTTGCTGTTTCAAAATCCAAACTTCATATTCAGCATTAACCTAAGTAAAGAGTAGAAGAGTCTTTCTACTGCAGTCAGTCTGATGTAGAAGACTCCTGTGTAAATAATGCTTGGTCAGTAGAGTCCTTGCAAAACTTATGGTCACTTTAGCCTAGTTCTCATTCTTGCTATTCATGGTACCATCTGGGAAGAGCAATATTCCAAATACAAGCAGGCAGCTTCCACTGCTCCTAGGTAACTTGATACCTCAAAAACTTGATGCCTGTCTCTTAGCCAGAAGGCACTGGTGCAGTTTCAATCAATCCTTATCATACCAGAATATGCCTTTGTGTTTTGATCATCAAGTATTACTTGCTGATCTCTAAACACTGAAAACTATTTCTTTTTTTAAAAAAGTACACCATATAGCCCACTTCTGAACTGAGAACATTACAGGACTTTCAATCCCTGTACACGATTTAATTTTAGTATTTTCTTTCCCATTATACTCTTCATCAAATAATGGCTGTCACAGAAGATAAAAGAGTGATAAGCTAAGTGCCTGTCCTACCTGAAATACCTTAGTAAGCTTTTAGTCGTGAAGTGGCAAAATCTAACTCATGAAAAAAGACTTTCATTTAGAGTTAAATCAACATCATGACCGCACAGCAGAAGATGGCTGAATAACAACTGTTCTAAAAGCCAAGCATCTCCTACGACCACACAGACTCATACCATCTGCATGGGTAATGGCTAATGCTGCTACTTAATAATATTAAACTGAAGCAAAAGCACAGGCTCTGAAAGGTTAAGTGCTCCTCTTTCCAGCTCTTTGACATTGCCTAGAAAGCTGAAGAATAGCAATCTCAGAAAGAATTGCAAAGTATGTGACTCATGGTCTTAAAAGATTAAGGTCTAATTTTTAGCATCTACTTGTAGCCTTCAACTAGCTTACAAGGCAGTACTGAATCTACATCTACAGGAAACATGGCCCAGGACCTTTGAGACTTTCATGGAATAACTCAAGATCTTTTGAGAAAAATAAGATCTAGTTGTTGTCATCACCTTCCACAAAGCCCTCATGTCACTTATCCAAGAATACTGTAATTCACATTTTTCACTGTATTACTTTCTCCAATCTTATTAAATTCTGGTGGGTTGTAAAGCAGAAAATAATTACTTTATCCTAATTTGCCACACAAATATAAAGTGTTATTTGTAATATAAATGCAAATCATTTATTTCATGAATGTAAACTGCTCTCGACTTTTGGGAGGAAATCTGTTACTTTATACTCAAAAGTTACCTCATATGATAATATCCTAAAAGTCAAAAATAAACCTTGATTTTTACAGAACAATTTTGCTGAACTGAAGCTGAATTGAAATTAAGTGTGGAAGAAGAGTATAATAGGCAAGATAATCAGGCACATACATTGTGTAATATAAATTATGCATTTTTGTCTATTATTATCCTCTGATGTGATAGAGAGTTTCCACCTACATTAAATGAAAGGCAGTATGCACCCAAAAGTTTCTGTTACTTCCTCTTTTTCCCCAGTTACACTTTATGCTCTAAAAAAATACATACTATATCCCATGAAAACTGGTTTGCTTGTATCTTCAAGTTGAAATTCCTGGAACATTATTATTACGCTGATAAAGCTACAGATTATCTATTAGAACATGCTAAGTACAAAAGCATGAAAGAATTCTCTTCAGCAGAAAAAAAAATGTGCAAGTTCCATCTTTGCCTATTTCTTAGTAAGGCACAGTCATAGACTCCCAATTTGAGTGAAAATTGAGTGACAAAAATTCAAGCAGACAAACATGACAGTTTTTGTAATACCTAAAGGTTCGCTGCCTGTAAATCAATTCCAGCTTGTTTTTTTAAGTGTTGCATTGTTTTTTGTTATTAGTATTCCATACACTAGCTTGTATTTCTCTGTCCAGATCCTGCCTTGCAATTTCACAAGGCTGCCAGCTATCAACTCAGGTGCCATAATACGAGTGGAAACACTTGCACCAATACATCCCACAGTCACTTTTCCACAAGTTGTGTAAGAAAACTGCTTGTCCACAAAGAAGCCAACAGGTGACAAAACCATTCCTTGCACTATAGAAAGACCTGATACAAAACTTAGCAGACTATCACTATCCTAAGTAGTGTGCATATGAAAGGCCTCAGAGAAGAGTTGGATTGCTTTGAATGACAGCACAAAATTTCAGATGTGTTATTAAAATGGCTGCGGTCACAAGAAACATCTAAGGGCAGATTCTGGGTAAGAGAAGAGAAGAACTGAGATTCAGACACAACTTTTAAGAGTGGAGTGAGGGTTCTGTAACATTTAGTTCTGCACTGGAACATATTTTAAAAAAAAAAATTAAAAAAGGCTAAAAAATCCCAACAAAAACAGCAACAAAACAGTTTTCAGGCTATTGCCTCATGCAGTTCAGTGAACTGTGTAACAAAGTGCTACTCTTTCAATGTGCAGGCAAACCAGTAACAGAAAATAGGCCATAAGTCTCTTGCTACTGTAAGATCCATTGTTTCATTTCTCTGTATTGAAGATGAGTCTGAAAAAGAAGAAGTGGCAGAGGAGAGGAGGCTGTATTTTAGTTTTATATGAACAACAAAATATCCTTGTAAAACCCTAACACAAAAGTAAGGTTAAAAGGACGACAGATAGGGTACCTATTTGCACAAGTGGTCTTAGAAGTACCAACATTGACATCTTCTTTCTAGTCCACCTCAGACTGATGCTTTCATACAGCTCAGATATAAATAAAGTCTGTACTGTTACATGAATCTGTCTAAATAGAGATGAATAGAAAGTACAAGTCCTTTGATACAGAAATAATGCTTTTCTCTCTACTAGTAAAAAAATACCATGCTCTCAGCGTGACTTACATACAACAAAGCAGCATCTTTCATGATTTGTTGGTCTTCCACTGTAATTCCCTGGACAAGTTATGTTCTTTTTATGGTTAAAGTGATTTTATTTATTACCTGATATGCTGGGGAATTAAACCAAAGCCTGCTGGTAAATGGGAGAAGGACAAGCAGTATTAAAGAAACAGTAAGAATGTAGAATTTCTAGAAAGTGTTTCAGTGGGGAAAAAAATCGTTGAAGAATACATGTCCTTGAATGAAACAAGTAGGAAAAAAAAATTCTTAACATGGGACTACTACTTCCTGGCCACCAAAGGACTTTTCTAAGGTGGGAAATACTTAGCTAAGCAATACTAACACTTCTAAAACTCCAGCATCTTAGAAAAATAGCCCAACTTCAGTGGACTTTAGATAAGATGGGTCTTAAGTTTCCAACACGGCTAAGTGGAAAGTACACGAGCTATAAATTCCTGTTTTATTTATGTAACATTTCTGTTGTTATCTCCTTTTTTATTTTTCTCTGTACTTTCACACCAAGTTCGTAAAGGACATTCAGAATTAAAACTGATATATGCCAGAAATATTTGCAGAGCTGCATCAGACAATGCTGAGCAGTAAATGCTTTGTGCAGGGTTTTGTTATGCTAGATGTAAACATATTTTAATAAAGATTTAACATGTAGGAACACACTGAATGCAAAAAAAGCATACGTCCTTCTTTTCCTAGAACTGTGCAGCAGAGAGGGGTGAACAATGTACCTTACCCAATACATTTAATAAGCTGGTAAACAATGAGAAAGACATTCTTTAAACACTGACTGCTATAAGATATATAATGTAAGCTTTAAGCGTATATTTTCCAGTTTTGATATACAGTATTTTCCTATCATTAATTTGATGCAGAAGGACTATCAGAAAGTCTGTGGCAGCAGAGGACTCACCCTTGCAGTTAACTGCAATATTCTCATAAACCACACTGTTTATACACCACTTCCCACCCTTTCCTGTCAAAATTTCCCCAGAAAAAAACCCAACACATTCTTAGGAAGTCCTGCCTGGCCACTGAATCTCTTTCCTTAAGTTGGAAGGGACCCACAAGGATCACCAAGTCCAACTTTTGGCTCCGGACAGGAACGCTCAATATTTAAACTCTGAGAGCACAGTCCTTTTGAACACTGTCCTTTTGAATGCCTTTTGAACTCAAGCAGGCTGGGGCCATGACCATGCTCTGGGGAGTCTGTTATGTGCCTTTTTCACACTCTGGTGAAGAACCTTTTCCTAACACCCAACTTGAGCACTCTTTGATGCAGCTCCATGCCAGTCCCTCAGGTCCTTTTGCTGGAATCCAAAGAAAAAGGGAAAAGAACAGTTGTAAAATGATTAAGAAAAACAACACTGGAGTTAAGTGCCCTGCAACCACTTTTGGAAAGACTATCAAAATGACAGCAAGTACTCCTTCGGTCTCCAGTGTCCCACCTACCTTACCCACTGCCAAGCATCCATCTTCCCCCTCAGTTATACATTTTTTTGAATAAACCTAGCACCATATAAGTGTCGAAGTATGCCACAAAACTGTCACTGCTCATCTGCTCTGAACTCCAGAATTCCTGATTCAACTGCCTTCTCTCTGGGGAACTAATGGGAAGCATTGAGTATGTGACAACCATTGTGCTGATATGTCAGCACTTGCGCTAACTATACCTTTTGAAATACACTGACTTACCAATGCAGTTAAAAGCCAAGAAATAAAAAGGAAGGACTGCATAAGAAGGCGTTCTTAAGTGTACAGTAATAAAATTGCAGCTCTCAACATGCATTACAGAATTGCTCAAGGTAGCGTTTCTAAAGCTGCCTACAGCATAAAATGTTGGGCTCCAAGTATACAGGAAATGAACAATATTAATAGCTTATATAGAAAAAGTGAAAGCTTTAACCCTAGGCAACTGCTTGATAAAAGAATCTCGTCTCTGACTAATTCAAACTTACATCCAAACCAAGTAAGTGACTCCATTTGACACTGTCAGATTTAACTCCTGAGTCCAGACTGTTAACTAGTATGGCAAAAACAGAAGCACAGTAATAACTTCATCTTTAATGTTCAGTAACTAGAGGCCTAGCCGAAATTCTCCACTGTCTTTAAAACTAAGTGTATACACTAGTTAATAATGTCAAAATCTGCTTCCATTATCTATGCACTTATGAAATTTACCAGAAATTCAGAGACAGTCATGAAGATCAGTACTAAAAAAAAAAAAAAGAGTACCTCATTTTTCTCCTCTTACAGTACAGACAGAAGCAGTTTCCCTTTGATACCAAAAGTCAACTTAGCACTAGGGCAAAATGCCTACCAGTGAAAACAACATGAAGCTATTTCACTGTATATATTCTTGAGGCTGCTCCCCTGACTTCTCCTGGAAGAACATCAGATGTATTTTTCTTCTGAAGCAGTAAACCTACTTCTACAGCATGCTGCAAACCACATGCCATCCTTTTGCCATCAGTGCAAAAAAACACCAAAGAGATGCACTCATTCAATGAATAAAAACGCACTCTCAAAAACAAACAAACAAAAAAACAAAGCAAACACAGCTGCATTAATCCTACGCAATAAGGAATCCCTGTTGAAGTTGTAAAGCTGCGTAGTTTTCCAAAAATAGGAAACACCTTTTCGCAATTGCATTAAAACACTGGAATGGATGAGTATAAATGCCTCATGCAATTTCTTTTTTTTTTTTTCTCCCCCAAAGCAAATTCAAAGTATCTACTTTCAAGGAAGTTAATTTTAGGTATGATTAATGAAAATATAACAAACATAACCATATTGTCTTTCTGCTGGGCTTATATTAACCTAGTTCACATGCTTAGAAACATCTTTTTTTAATTCTTCTTTTGCAATATGGCTAACTGTAATAAAACTCGGAACCCACACAAGACTATCATTGACCTTCACACAACACGAATGAACACTACAAAGTTGGATATAAGTAAAAATAGTTTGCTGCTTTAACTTTGATTTTTGTTTGAATGATTCTTACATAAAGTCCTTTAAAGCGTATCAGCTCAAGTCTCAGAGATATAACAAGTAATAAAAGGTCTTAACTATAGATTTTCTTATATAACAGCTCACCATCTTTACTAATATTCTAGGTGAAGTTCAAAAAAAGGAATGAGAAAGAAACAAACACTTCATTTTTCTCCTCTGAAAAGAAAAAAAGAAATCAACTCCTAATATGGTATTGAATATCTGTTCACTTATGTCAGCTGGACTGTCCGTGCCTCTCCTTACTCCTTGCCCCAACCCTCTGGCCTCTGTTAGCCGAGTCCTGGAGCTGCCCCATGGTGGACAGCAGCCAGATCTAGCCAGCTCCAGAAACAACTCCCTTTGACTCCTCTAGAACATACATTAAAAGTGTTCTTAGACTTCTGAACACTTCTACGGTTAACCATTGAAAAGATCCAAGCTAAATGGGAAATACCCTGTTCCTTTTTGTAACAGAGCTTGTGTTTGTAAGATACAATACAAATTCTTAAAACAGTATGCACAGAATTTGAAATACAAGCCTTGAAAGAGGCAGAAAAACTCACTTGAGAGGGTGTACTTGTCAGCTCCATCTTTTCTTGTGATTTTTCCTTTGCTAGCCGTGCGGCTTCTTTGAATTCCTGGAATTTTTCCGCAAACTGAATGTACATATGTTATTATAAAAGAAAATAGAGAAAGAAGAGAGTAGGTGTGAATTAGTTACACTGTATGCAGAACATACTGCATTGTACAATGTCAGATTATCTTAGTAGAATTTTTAAATTTTGTTCTCCCTATTAGATACTCATTTGATCAAGTTACACAGGGGCATAGCTTCCAGTAATTTTCAGACAGAATGCACTGTTTGCATAGCAGGAAATTAACAATGCAAAAATGTTTCAACCAACCAACCAAACCAGTTCAGATATAGCCAGTAATAGCAATAAACCGTCTTACACAGCTGCTGTCAGATTTAGGTTTCATTCTCTTCCTTACAATGAATAACCAGATTCTGAAGCCAGAGTTGGTCACAACTGACCTAAGAGCTTCACTCTTTCATGACTTAAGCAATACTAATTCCTTCCCAAATTTTGTTAAAGCTTTTAGAATTCCAATAGCTATCTAAGAAATCAGCAGTGGGAATGCTGAGTCAAGTTCATTTCTTGCTGTAACTGTCCTGGAAAGCTTGATGTCTCTGCTACACATATTCATAGAACAGCAATTTAGAAATACCTGCAGCCTTAAACCTGAGAGTTGAACAACTTATAAAGAACTCTGCTTAAATTTTCTGGCTAGAGAAAAATTTAGTGATCTCAGTTTTACATCACACACATTGTAAGTAGCAAAGCACTTGATTTCACTTGCTTCTGCTTTTACACAAATATTATTTTACTACCATTTGCCAAACACTGCATTCTGAAAAAAACACTGGGATTTTTCCCAACAGTTTATAAATGTCTCCAGCAGCAACATACAAATATATTTTTTTGGAGTTGTTTGTTTGTTTGTTTGTTTTTTGGTTGGATGGTTGTTGTTGTTTTGTTTTGTACTGCACATAGACAGAAGCTAAAAAGGCTACCTTTGTTTGACACAGTCTCAACTATTTTCAATTAGAAATTCACTTGCTATTCAAGACACAAAAAGTCTTATTATCCTTAAATTTCTCCTGGCTATTAGGACTATTAGGAAGTCAAGGCTATTAGCACTTGAGGAAGTACCATTTTTCTTCTCTGGAATCCTACATTTCAGCTAGTAGGTTATTTAAAAACATACATTTTCTGGATACAGGAAGATAATAAAAAAAATACCATGCATGAAAACTAATCCAGCATCAAAAAAGGTCTCAGAACAGATGATAAAATTGGCAATGGATCCCCAGAACTAGATCATACTCTTCTAGGAGCACTGATAATCGTACATAGACCTCAAAATCTCATTGGTAGCCTATTATTTAAGTCCGAAGACTTGAGGACCAGAGGACTGGTAAATGGAAAACATGATGCTGAAGTTTAGAATATGCAGTTGAAAAAAAACAAGACGGTAAGTATAATCTTCTGTATCACACTGGTAGAAATTATAAAAAGAGTGAATAGACTGGTAAACATGTAACATTCTGAAAAAGAGCCACCTAGGAAGAAAAATCTCATCAATTTACTAGAATTCCTTGAGATCTTTGGGTGGTGGGTAATAGCAATCTCTCGATACAACCCCCAGTTAACAAAGAGAGGTCTCATGGTATGAAAAGAAGAGTACTCTGGAGGATTCATAATCTAAGGAAACGATGAAAAACTGTGGAAGGATAATACCCATGATGACACATCATGCCTCATAACTCTTAGATTGTTCACGATAAATCAGGTCAACTAACTTAAATAAGATGGGAGATTTTCTTCCCATCCAGATGAATGTTATCCGAAGTACAGACTTTATTCTGGTTGGGAAATTTGCTTCAGTTTTTGATGAATATCATGGGATATTCTACTCTTCCTACTTCACAAGCAAGAGGGACTATGCCAGAAAATCCTAATACTGTGAAGGGAATACTCTCAAATGCAGAAACCATCTTTTAAAAGCCGTTGACTTCTGCCTGACTCCTTATGGAATAATCTTAAAATGAATTTGTGGTCTGACACATTGAGAAAAGCTCTAATGAAGATAAACAAATGTTTAATTAATTTTCTTGCTTGCACATAAAGAGTTGACTGCCATGTATCTATTTTTTAATCAAATATTCTCACAGTCGCAATGATAACACAGAAAAAAGTTTAGCTCTGATGCACTCTACTCTGGGAATTAGTTTATGAAGGACAGAGGTAAATGAACCAAATGGTTGCAAAGTCAAATACTTAGTATAAGTAAGCTTTGATAATCATTCTTGTTTAGAGTGACACAGCTAAGCGGACAATGATATAAGAATAAATATTTTATTAAAAGACCTGATTATATGCTTCATTGGCCTTTTCAAATCAGTCACTGACTGGACCAAATGTTTTGCAGTTGTGGGTTCCCTGAAACTTTAAATACTCCAGAGATCCCCAAGACACTTCTTGAAAACCAGCTACATGTAACAAGGACATTCACTTTGGGACTCTGATTCATCAAATACATTTTTAAAAAGTTCCCGAATTAATTTCAAGGCAACATCTAGAAGCAACCTATTCCTGAATAAATCTGGGGACAATTTCCTAAAAACATTCTGAGAATTTGTCACCATAACCTTCAGAATAGGTCTGTGACTCGTTATTTTTCTCAACAGACTTGTGTATCCTCCATGAATCACAGCAATTTGAGTAACTGCTTATCAAAAATGTCCTTTTGACAAAACATCTACTGTACCTTTTCTTATTATTTTTACAATAGCAACATAAAATTTTAAACCAGAAGTATAGTGAAAAATCTTAAATACCAGTTTGACAGCAGCTAAAGAATGATATTAAATTGGCCACCGAGGAGAGCGAGGAAAGAGCGGTGGAAAAGACAGATGAAAATACATATGTATGTTCTTTGGCAAGAACTACCCAGTGTTGGAAGCCTGGCAAGCACAGGGTATGCATGACTGCAGTATCACATTTTGCTTCCAAAGAGGTGTTTTATGATTGAGAAACACAAACAGTACATGAAAGAGATAAACTAAATTGGCATTTACACTAAATCCTTTTAGATGCTAACAAAAGCTGTATCTGTATTAGTCAGCAAGAGCTTCTAAAATGTACACACCAATTTAAATGATGAAGTTTCTAAGTTCACTGAAGCAATAATGTGCATAAATCTATCTACATGCATATACATAACATTGGTATCACTTGGAATTTTGTGGATTTGTGTTGCTTCATTTAAATTAAAGCTGTCTGACTGTAAAACGAAGAAAACTTACAAGAATATTACATTGTCCACATAAAGTAGATGTAGTGGTTCTTTTTAATGATTTTCTAACAGACCCGCACTTACCACTTGTATACTAACAATTTCTTTCCCAAATGGATTGATATGTTTTGGCTAGTTAGTTGGTTTTGTGTTGTTTTTTTTTTTTTTCAGACAAGCCAAATATGATTCCTTACTTGAACACAAACCATACATTCATCTCTGTTTCAGTTAGGTTTCCAGATCTTTTGTGTACTTCAGAGATGTAGGAATTCTGCTTAATGCATAGATATGTTCTCAAACTGAAAGCTTTTTATCTGTTGAAAGATGACACTGGTTTGTACAGGTTCCCATAATTATTTACCAGATTCATATTAATAGCAAAAGGTATTATAGAAGTGTTTCTCACAACAACTCTATCACTATTCAAAGGGTTTACTATTTTCTTCAGATTATCTCTGACTACCCTCCTGCTCAAGTTGAATATAAAAAAAAAATAATCTCGTGTGTCACAGAATGTCCTTATTAGTTATTTCAACTTCAGTACTGCAACAAGAAACAGTACTTTTCTTTTACATGAAATAAATTTTTCACTAGCTTCACCTTTAGTCTACAGATGTCACATTATCTGTAACAAGATACACATAGAAGAAAAGTTAAAATGAATGTGACTTAAAAGACAAAAAAGCATCAAAAGACTATCAGTAACTTATTTTCTAGGCCATCTCAATATAGAAGTAACACTAACTTGCTGACTCTTAAACTCTAATATGAAAAACTGTAACAGAACAACAACTTTAAAATAGAGAAGCCTAACAAATTGCTATTTAAAAAGCTTAAATCTTCTCCCTTTTCCCAGTTAAGAGAAAATACACAGTTATCTAAGAGTTAAAAGCATACTGCCATCATGATCTGTCTTGTCTTTTCAAATTATAAGGGCAGATACAGGGTATTTTTTTGTTATTTGTAAATAACAAGACTGAGTCAAGGCACAACAAGCAGGAATCAAATATTCTTATGGTGCTTGGCTTGCCAAACAGTTTTTGTTGCTCATACTTACTTTTGAAAGATGATGCTCAGATGAAAATCCCAAGCCATAGACTGTATTTGCCCTGCTGTCTGCCCATTGGCCAAACTTCTGGGATGTTTTAGTAAATGTCATGTTGGGGGTGATAGTGCTGTTTATTATTGCCTGGAAAAAAAAAGTGAATGTTGTAAAAAAATTGGACTTTTTCTGTTTTTTTTTCAAATATTTTTAGACTTCCTCATAATAAAAACTATCAGCATTGCAGTCAAGTATCCATGTACACAGAATGAGACACAACTAACAGGCAACTTTCTTCTTCTACTTCAATGGCAACTAAATTATGAAAGCCTGTAATAGCAAACATTGTCTGAAAAAAAGGAGCAGAAGCTGGGATAGAGGAGATGCCTGTTGGCAATTGCAAGTAAAGACTTAATGGTTAATAAGTCTAAAAAGAATCTATCAAAGCAACTGCATAGGCTAATGAGATCTGAAGAGAAGAAGCAAAGTCCTTTTTCTCATGAATGTGTTTCTTTGTCCCCTAAGGCAATGTCTTCCAAGCTCCACTGTTGCAATTCCCCCATTATATATGAAATTATCACCTGGAAACATGCAATAAAACAAGAAGGATTTATTTTTTTTTTTAATGTTTCTGTATTGTTTTCCTCTATACACAAACAAAAATGGCTAACAATGCCAGGGTCATATAACTGCAGAAGAAGAGCTACTCTCAGCATTTCTCTCTTCTTGTTATGTAGAGAGTGGAAGAAGGCCATGTTCCAGCATAAAAACGCTAAACAGATCTCAACATGTTTCCATCATACATTCAGAACTGTATCTGTTACACTCAACAGATTCTAAATCTGTGATGTGGAACGATCCAGTTGACATATATGTATGTCAGGATAGATTCTTACAATGACTCCAGTGGGTTCCATTTAACTACATACCTGACAGTCAGTACAGTTCACAGCCGGACAGTATGAACTAACCATAAAATCAAAGGCACGCAAATTAAAACTGAAATGCAGAATTTAGTTTCTTATGTATATGGTGCTATTAAGAGTTTCAAATAAAACAGCAGTTAGTTAGTAGGATGGCTTGGGTTGGAAGCAACATTAAAGATAACTGAGATCCACATACCCTGCCTTGGGCAGGGTTGCCTCTCACCAGATCAGGCTGCCCAGAACTCCATCCAACTTGACCTCAAACACATCCTGAGATGGGCACCCACAGCTCCTCTGGGTAGGCTGTGACAAGGTCGCACCACCCTCTGAGCAAAGGTTTGTATCCCTTCTTTTATTTTAAAGCCATTCCCCCTTGTCCTATCATTACCAGATCTTCTTAAAAGTCACTTCCCTTCTTGCTTATAAGCTCCCTTCAAGGAGCGGAAGGATGCAATAAGGTCTCCATGGAATTTTTTCTCCTCTAAGAAATTAAAGACCAACTCCCTCACCTTCCTCCATAAGAGAGGTGCTCCAGCCCTTTGATCATCTTCACGGCCCTCCTCTGGATCCACTCCAACAACTCTGCATTCTTCTTGCGCTGGGTACTCCAGGCCTAGAAGCCGTACCCAGATGGAGGGCACAGTAGAGGGGGACAATCATCCCCTATTCCATTATGGCCATGTCTCTTTTGATGCAGCCCAGGATATAGATGGTTTTTCAGGCTGCAAGAGCACACTGCAGGCTCATGTTCAGCCTTTCATCCACCAGAACACCCAAGTCCTTCTCTGTAGGACTCATCTCAACTTCATCTCAACTGGGAGCTCTTCTCCCAATCTGTACCCATGTCCATGTCTGGGACTTCCCCAATCCAAATGTACCTTGCACCTAGACTTACTGAATCTCATTAGGTTGACGTGGACCCAATTTCCAAGCCTGTCCAGGCCTGTCTAGATAGCACCCCTTCCTCAAGAGGTGTCAACTGCACTACTGAGCTTGGTGTCACTTGAAAACTTGCTGAAGCATATACATCATCATTATCTATGCCACTGATAAAGATCTTAAACTGACCCCTGGGGGTCACCACTTGTGCCTGTCCTCTTCCTGGTCACAGAATCATAGAATCATAGGGTTTGGAGGGGACCTCTATAAACCATTGGGTCTAAACCCTGCTAAAGCAGGTACTCTACAGAAGATCACACAGGTAGGCTTCCAGACATGTTTGAATATCTCCAGAGGAAGAGACACCACAACCTTTCTGGAAAGCCTGATCCAGTACTCCATCACTGTCACAATAAAGAAGCTCTTCCTTGAGTTTTAGTTTCTGCATGCTGTCTCTTGTACTGTTGCTGCACACCAACTTGAAAAAGTCTGTCGCTACCAACTTGACTCCCTCATTTTATATATTTATAAACAGTTATGAGATATCCACTCTGCCTTCTCTTCTCTAGGCTGAACAGTCCCATGTCTCTCAACCTTTCCTCAGATGGGAGATGCTTCAGGCCCCTCATCTTTCTAGCCCTACACTGGACTCTTTCTAGGAGATCCTTGTCTTTTTTAAACTGACAAGCCTAGAAATGGACACAGTATTCTAGCTGTGGCCTCACCAGGGCAGAGTAGAGGGGGAGAATCACCTCCCTCAACCTGCTTACTATGCTCTTTTTAATGCACCCCCCCAGAATACCACTCGCCTTCTTGGCCACAAGAGCACATTGCTGGCTCACAGCCAACCTGCTGTCCACCAGGACAACCACATCCTTGACAACAATCCGCTGGCTACGACCTTCCAACCAATTCTTTTTCCACCAAGTTGTCCAGCCTTCAAAGCCATATCTCTCCAATTCAGAGATAAGGATGTAGTACAGGACCATGTCAAATGTCTTGCACAAGTCCAGGCAGATGACATCAGTTGTCCTTCCTATGTCCCCCAAAGTTGTCACTCCATTGTAAAAGGCCACCAGACTCATAAGGGCACAATTTGCCCTCGTGTGAAGCTGTGCTGGCTTTCTGGGATCACCTCCTCATCTTACATGTGCCTTAACACAGCTTCCAGGAGGATCCACTCCATGATCTTCCCAGGCACAAGCTCATCAGTCCCTGGTTCCCCGGGTCTTCCTATTTCCTAAAAAAGGGAGCAATGTTTCCCTTTTTCCACTCAGCAGGGATTTTGTCTGACAACCACGAATTTTCAAATATGATGGTAAGCAGCTTAGTAACTAGATCAGCCACTTCCTTCAGGACCCTGGGATGCGTATTGTCCAGCCCTGTAGACTTGTACACATTCAGTGAGGCCCACTGCCTCTTCTGCTGACACTGGGCAACAGTGAAAACAGCCTGCTGGCTCCATCCTCTCTACATCTTTCCTTTAGATATCTATAGGCATAAAAAATTCTCTGAGCCTTCTCTTCTCATGAAAATGAGTTATTCCTTCACAGGTGCGGGAGTTAAAGATACTAAATCACAGATGAAGGAACTTTAACAAAACTAGCAGCTTCTACAGTGGCTTTGGCAGTTCCACCATGTACACGTTAAATAGGAAAAGCAAATCTGGGTGTAGCTGAGAATATCAAACAGGCAGTTCGCTCTGACAACTTTTGCCTCAAAATGCAAGTTTTGCCAACTCCTGTGGAAAACTGTAGAGTTTTGGAATGCCTGGAAGCTGACACTTGATTCAGCAAGTCTCATCAGATAAAGAATAGGATTTGCTGTCTGACTAAAGGCTGAAAAAACAACTGCAAACTTAATTGTCCACAAAACTTAAAACATTTTCAAATGGGACACATTAGACATGTGTCCTACATTATAACAAGAAGTCATTGGTAATTCAGACAATATTCTCCTTCCTTTAAGTGTAGAGTTGAAGGCCCAAATAAAGCCAAGAGGGTCACAATTGAACTAAGGACCCTAAAGGACTTCATCAGGAAAAGCTGTCTGCATCAAACAGGAAAGAAAAATGCATGGGACAACAGAGGTGTACTTATTAGAAAGACATTCTGAGGCTCTCTTTATCTTGTATTTTTTCCTTAGTACTCAGAAGCCCTCCTTATTAAATAATCTGGTGGAAGTCTGTAACAGTTCCTAAAGTTCCTCTAACGTTCAGCCCTCTTTTGCTGTGGAAGCTATCAACAGCAGCACGATTTAAATGAACTACCCTGGAGACAGTGTAGAAAACAATCCTTCTCCCCAGCTCAAGCTATAGCTATATTGTCGGCTTACTTAGCCCCCACTCACTGCCTGGGTAATTGGAACTAATGTCAGATTTGAGAGTGAAGGTATTCTGTCACTGGTATAATACTTTCCAGTGCAGAAGAAGACTCAGAACCTGCAAGCAACAGGCAGGTTGAAAGCATGAGGTCTGGAACCTGCTGCAGTGACTGTAAACCCAGTGCAAAACCTTGGACAAAACAATGAGCTTTCATCTGAGACTGCTCAATGCATCAGCTGAGACCACATGCCTGCCTATGCAAGGGATAATCCAGGTAATGGCAGACACAAAAAGGCCAAAGGTTTTGACAGCAGTCTGCACTCAAAGTAGATTACCAAAATTACCTCTTTCTATTTGGTAGAAAGAAAACTTTTTAGAAAAATACCATGCTGAGAAAGGGCTGCTATTATTCTGCCCTTTGTTTTCCAACAGAAGAAAAACAAGAATGCTCCACTCCAGCAGACAGTGTTCGCCTGAAGATTAGACTCTCAGATCCCATTGACACAAAGACAAGCCCTTTTATTAGGTATACCAATTTTAAAAGAAAAAAATCAAGGCTTTCAATTCTCTGAATTAAAAGCATTAGTGTGCTCAATGTCTCATGTTTAATTATGCTTTAAGATTGTGCAGTGCCAGAGCATACTAAAGATACAGGCAGCATTCGCTACTTCTGGAAATATTAGATACTAGTATTCATAAATTCAGCTTAAAAAAATAATGTTTTTAGAATTATCATTTATTATTAACTTGTTTCATCTATACAAATACTGTTTTAACCGCTCTCCTCCATGTCAGGAGATTTCACTGTAGAGTCACTAGTGTAAGGAACGTCAAATATGTCATCAACTTTTAAGAATGTTGTTAGTCTAAATGTACAAGAATATCTTAAAAACAGAACAGAGTCAATCTGACAGGCAAACATTTAGCTTTTGAAGAAAGTGATCTTGTTATCTTTAGATTTGGTTAGAATAATAAAATAGCTTTCATGTTTTACTTTCAAATTAGTTTAGCTATGAGAAAATAGAGCACATGTCTAACTAGGCTGTTTTCTGACTGCAAGTCCAACACTTGCAAGAAAAACAGCAGCAGTCAAGTATGATTTCAGCTCATGCTAAAGATGATGGCAATAAAATTAAGACACAGAGTATCACTGAATTTCTTCAAAGCAAGGTCACTGAAGACCTGGGCTCATGGGACTTATCTACAACCTGTATTTAGCATTATTATTTTAACATATGATTAGTGTATTTTACAAGTCATTAAAATATAAAGATCACTAATGACTAACTCAAAGCAGAAACATTATGTGCATGGCTTATGAAATCTACAGACAAAAATCACTCTTTTCCTAAGTTGTCTTTTGTTTTAGATAGACACAAATTACTGCTTTCTTTCCAATTTTACAACAGTGAAAATAATATCAGAACATTCACTGGTACCAAAAGAACCACTTTACTTATTCTCCTTCCTTAGTGGCTACCAGAGATTGAATGAAAAGACAGTGGGATTATGGGAATAAATTAATATCCACACGCAGTGTTACTGGAGAAACAATGGAGGCTTCCTTCCATCACCTACTAGAAAGAAGAACTAAGACATAAGAAGATATGAAGTGACTATATAATTAATGAGAACTGAAAGCCTTAGCAACAGCTTCTCAATGTTGTCATGTTGTATTGCATAACAGATTTTATTTTTCAGGCTTTCTCTTGATTTCTACTGTTATATGAAGAAAAGTTGCATAAAAGGCATTTGCTGGCAGTCAGGTTTGAGTTCTACCAGATCATCTGCATCAGGATCTCTCTGCAATGGGTGACAGATACTGTATATAGCTATAAAATGTGTCCTGTCCAGTGAACACATTATGGTCCTAGAACGTTTATCAGAGATAAGTAAGAGGGAAATGCCTCATTTCTTGTACAAGGTGTTTTATGAAGACATAGAAGCTTCGGAAAACATTACACAGAGATGGGAACCAGTGTACAGCTTGAAAAGCGCATAACATATATAGCTGGAATAATCTCATAAAAGAACAGTTTAATCTACCTAAATACTACATCCACAAGAACCATTAACCCAACGACTTGCCCAGCTACGCCTACTTTTACATGAGAGCAATTTACAAACTAAAACTGATGGAAGCTAACACAATTTTGAGTAGGATGAAGCTGTTTGGAAAAGGATGAGTTGTGCTTGGCTGCTCCATCACCTGGTTTATACAACACATTTATTTGAGCCTCTAGAAGGAGTAAACAGAACGTGTCTAACAGCTGTATCTCGCTCACAAACCAAGTGAAATGGAACAAGGAAAAAATAAAACCTCTTAAAATGCATCAAAGATCTCCACAAGCAAACTCAAGTGTATCTGAAATGTATGGTAGGATTTCTCAGAATCAGATTTCTCTCCAGACCCATAAGGTACTCATCATCAGCAATGTGGCTTTCAAGAGAGCCTAGCAGGATCATCTATTTATTTTTATTTATTTATTATTATTTGAGTTACCTTCTGGTACTCAACCGTGTGTTTCAGAGTAGTGTAGCGATCCCTGAAATAATGCATCTTAATCATGGTAGGGGTCCTAGATCTTAGTCAGATACACAGTGCTTGAGATGAAAATATTACTGTGATTGCAGCAATTAAAGAGAATAAATAAAAATGACAAATTGCATTATCAATATACCTTGCCAATTGTATTATAAATACAAAGGAAGTACCGCAGTAGACAAAAGAGCATATAAACAGATGAACAACTACTTGACAACATAACTTAGCAGTCACGCTGCAAGAATTGTAGCATTAGGCAACAGAACTCTCTGTATTGGAAGAAGAATTTTGTAAACTGAGCAGATCAGTTTGGGTGCTATACATGACAACTATCAGCAATGATCTTATACAACATCAAGTTGAGATCCAAGTCTTTCATAAACAGTCATACACATACACAAAAAAGGTATCCTAATTATCTGACAGAAGCAAAAATCATTTGAAGGAAGGCTGGAAAAGGAAGACAATAAAGACAAAATTTGGAAAATGTTGGTAAGCTTTAATACCAGAGCCTCAATCACCTAAATGAATATCATACGGAGAGCTTTGATAAAAAATTCCTAACACTTCTGTATGATAGAACTTTTTTCTTCCTCAACCAAAGTAGCAATACTCAAAACTTTAAATATGCACAGTAATGGTTTTCAGCTTTCAACAAAGCCAAGAAATCTCCAGAAACACCATTGTGCTTTAACAATATACTTTAGTTCCAACTATCAGGAACACACACATTTCCAGAAGCTGCAGTTGAAAGTAACTTGAAAAGATTACTGCTTTTGATAACATTTTGTAAAATGTTAGTTTTCTTACTGATGAGATTTCTTGACATGTTGTTTCCACAACTACTGTTTTTAGACACATTTGGGATAGAACTTAAGAAACAGTCAAGTGTTTTCCCCAAGTCTTCCAAATTACTATCTTAAGCAGTTCAACATATTACCTTTCCCAGCATAGAAAAATGAAAAAACAAAACATAACCATTATCCCAAACTCAACCCAAATGACTTTTGCTAACTGCTTACTTTGGAGAGCTTTAAGAAGGAATCACCACAAGCTGTACTGCAAAAATTGGAAGATTAAGTAACAAAGAAGGATTTATAGAGTGATTACAGGCACTGAACAGATGTCTTTCATGATGAAGGATGAAATCAATGACTTCAATACATCACTGGATACTGAGAGAGAAACAATTTATTGGAACACTACTTGTAGTTTTTAGTACACCTCAAAGGCAATACCTTTTGATTGCTCAATATTAGTAGGTCACCACTTAGATTTATCAGATTTATCTAAGTCTATACAAACACTAGAAAACAGTATTTTTCAAAGAATGCTTAAAATATCTAATAAAACAATATAACCATTTCAACACATCACTTATCACTTACTAAGATGCTGACAAGAGCATCTGAGAAGATAAATCAGCCTGGAATATAAATACAAAAGTCAAAAAAGAAGCAAGGAAGTATTCTCTAAAATAAAACTTACCTTTGAGCCATCCAAACTGATTATCCTGTAGACATTTCTTGTGCTGTCATAGAAGTAGGACACAGTAACAGCATGCTTGCTGGTGGGAACCCAGTTCTTCTTAGTGTTTGGGTCAATCTGGAAGACATGAGCTCGGGTGCTGAAGATAGGTTGTTCCCTGAAGGACAGAAAGTGAAAGTCATGAACATGACTGGGATGTAATATTGTTGTGCACAAGTTATCTACCAGTTGTGCCCAGTAGGTTGCAAGTATTTCACTTTACTTAAAAAAGTTCTTAGGAAAAAAAATATCATGTGCTGATGCATTCAGCAGATAGACTAAATTAATATACACATACAAGCAAAATGCAAGCCTCCAAAAGCAAAATCAGCACTTAACTGTAGAGTCAGATAAAGGCTGACATCTTTCAACAAAGATTCAGCTGTGTTCCATCACTCCTCACTCATTACTTTCCATCTATCCCTTCAAGCTGTCATTAGCACATGTGTAACTTCTCGTTCACTGCATGTTGCCGAATGTGTGCAACATTGAGCACCCATCTTCTGAGAAGCCTTTCAGTATTCTGATTTTTCAACCTCAAATTATAATCTGAAACTGAACTGGCTAAATAAATAGAGTTAGTCGAAAACATTAATTATACTTAAGAACAATCTCATCATTGTGAAGCCCTCACCTTTTGGAGCTTCACACCTAAATGTTCTCACAGCAGCACTAAATACATACAACATGAATTGTTCAAAGTTAACTGCTTAGCAAAGTAAGTCATGCAAGGTAAAAAAAAAAGATTATCTAATGATTTATTTTCCCTCGTGATCATTATCAAGACATGCAGCCTGGAAAGAATATAGGGATGCAAACCAAGACATTTAGAAATGAGATGAGGAAAACCAAGCTAGAGTTCCAAACTCCTGCTGTGTGCTGCATTGCTATCCACCAGATCAGGTGGCCCCTGCCACCTGGCCTTAAACACTTTCAGGTATGGGGCATCCACAGCTTCTCTGGGCAGCTTGTGCCAGCGCCTCACTGCCCTCTGAATAAAGAATTTCATCCTAATGCCTACTTTAAGTCTACCCTCTGTTAGTTAAAACCATTACAGCTTGCCCTATCGTTACAGGCACAAACAGAAGATCTCTCTCCATCTTTCTTACAAGCCGCACTGGAAATAGGTAATCTTGGTTCCTTCTAAACCAAACCATTCTGTGTTTCTAATTAGTACTGCATGAAATAAAAAATGTATTTTAGCATTACTACGATGGCTGTCACCTTAGCTACATTTTACTGACAAATAGATGTTTGTATTCTTCAGGAAATGCTTCATTAAATAAGAAAAAAATGGACTAAAAGCATTTCAATTTGGGTTTAGCTTTGCAGGCATTTTTAATTACTTTTCTTTTTCCTGTTTCTAAAATGATAATAAACATACCTTTTGTCCCTGCCCTTATCTCCCTTTAAGTTTTAAGTAAGAGGCTAAGCTCTTAATACATTTTTCTGCCAAAAATAAAAGCAAAAGAAAAAAAAAAAAAAAAAAAAGTCTTGGAGTAATCACAGTCAAACAGTTACAATCTGGCCTTCTTATAAATCAGTTATATATGAACTCTCAGTAACACTTCTGCTGCTTGGCACTGAATGCACTCAGAACCAGCTGTTTCCAGTAGCAGAACTGTACTCCTCAGCTGGGAGATAAGGCTACTTGAAGCCTGTCTGCTGGAAGAGGTGGTGATCTCCTATGCTAAGTGTTAGAAGAAATGGTCTGAGGAATACAGAACAGAACAAAGACTTATTGTTCCAGTGAAAGCTAAAGGAGAATACATGCAGTCCAGAGGGACGAATGTATGTCTTAGTCCTCCATACAAACGTCACAGTACACTTAATATCAACTAACGTTCTCCTTATATCACCCCGTTACATAAGCAGTATTCCTGATTACTCCTGATCCCAATCCCTTGTACAAACACAAAAATTATGCACAAGCGACTTTCATAGTTCTTGTGTTTCAATATAATCTTTACATTAATTGCTCTTTTGAATGTTTAGAATAAATTCATCATACTTAAGATTTCATTCTCGCTTTCAGTATTAGATAAAAGCACCTTCCACCTACCATCCAGTTTAGCACACCCAAATGTAATGTGATGCATGTTACCATAATGCAACCAGTTACTTAACAGTGAGGCAGTTTAAGAGCTAATCAACACACACACAAAAAGCTATCCAGAAGTATCCGTATGAAGACTGATATTGGAAGGAGAAAATGATGGTCCTAACTACACTAACTAAAAATGCAAAAGAAGAGCTGAATCTAAATCATAGCTGTGTGGTGAATGAATACTTCTGACCAGAGCTGCTATCCAGTGCTATCACCGAACCAGACCTCATACAACTGAAATATTCAAAAGCTAAGGTTTTGCTATGTACAAGCCAGGTGAAAACTATGTAACTAAAGCATTTAGGAGTGCCAGTAAAAGTTCACTTGGTGAGCCCTGAGATGATGTTCTCCTGTACTGCCACCTTCCATAGACCTAGCTATGTCTCTTCTGTTTGATTAGATTGCTTGCATGTCACTGCCACCTGATCAGCAGCGTTTCTCCGGTTTCACAAACCAGAGCACTTTGCAAGGCATGTGTGGCCAGCGTATGCATCACATTTAGATAAAACACAGCACTAATAAAACTTCATGTGCTATTTTATAACTTCTGATAAACAAGTTACAAAGCATTTCCATGCTCTGACTGAAGCTAGAGGTTTGCTGAGTGACATGCTGTCTCCATTCTGTGACAACAGAGCAGTAGGTACTGCTAAATCCATGGCATAAAAAGCACAAAACAATTAGAGAAATCATAATTTTGCCAGATTACTGGGGTAATTAAGAGGTTTTTTTAATAAGGATACTAAACTTCAGATGCCTCCAAAATATGTTTTGACACTTGATGATGAACATTTATACTGATTACTTCTTCACACAAATGGAAGTTACCTTATCTCTAGAGGACGAAGACTGTTAAAGAATCTGTCACTGATTTGCCAGTACAGCCCTTCAAAGCTGCTGTACAGCTACATCATTTGTACTTTTCTGTGGCAACACTGTAGAGCTACTTTAACTTTACATTTGCTAAGACACTCAGAGATGAATGTAAGTTAATATGTAAAATAAACACAATGTTTACAACTTTTCCTAACCAATCTTTACTCTGAGACTTTTTGTTCTTCTGTTATCAAAGCAGGTCATGATGCCCTACCAGTTTGGAAGTTTAAATTAACTCCATTGAAGTGATGTTACTTATTTAAGAGTTTCCTTTTTCTTTTGTTAAGTGCAAAACACAGTGTATGCATGTCTCTGTGTGTATACAACTACATATACATGCACATATACACAGATAACTGTAGTTTTGTCAGTACAGAGCTGCAAGAGAAGAGAACATAGTTAAAAAAGAAAAAATAATTGTATGGAAACTATCAGTTTGTTTCTCTTCCTTTTCTTTCACCTTTCCCTTAACATACCTTCATGACCACAAAGAACTTAGTACTCAGTATTCACTACTCATTAAAGACACCTCATTAAAGACAGTAGTAAGAACTGAGACAAGAACTCATCACTAATTGTAGAGAGGCACTTATTTTTCCAGAAATATCTTAAGTAAGAAGAGAAACTAGCAGCCTGCCACAGAAACACAGCTGGACTATCAGAAATGTCTGCTCCCGCACAGCAGGAACATTAATGCTAGTATGCTGTTGTTAATTCACTTAGATTGCAACATTACAACAGTCAAACAGACTAAAACGAATAAAGTGGTAAAATCCTCCTGGCAATGAGTGAGCCAAAGAAGTGTGACAAGCAGCATTCAAATAGGTAGAGTCACACCATTTATTTTCCATCACTGATAGAGAAATCAGCTTGTTGATATGTGATCTGTGTTAGCCTCGGCTTAGGAGGCAGTCCTGTGTCCTAATAGTCAAATTAATTGTGCTTTCAACCACCCTTTCCATTTTGACATCTTAACATCTTCTTTTCACAAAAAAAGCAGACTAATGAATGCAAGTTCCTGTGTGTTCCTTCTTCTATATCTGTGATTAATTAAAGCTTTCACAAGTGAAGCATAAGTTAGTACAAAAGGTTAGAAAGAACTTTCCTCACTAACCCATGATTGGCATTAAAAAAAAAGGATTATCATTCTAGTATCATTCACTGATGTGTCTGATAATTCCAGACTGTGCCACCCTAGTGCTAAAAGACCACCGTACTACCATGCTTTTGCTTACCATGACTCCTAAATCTTGCTCACATTGATTTAACATCTACATCTTCTTAAGGCAGGGTTTCTGTTTTCTTAATTACTATAAAATTAGAGAAGCAGGTATGATTTTCTACAGCACTAGCTGACATCCTTACTAGCCTGCCCTTCCAGTATGCTAAAAAAAAAAATAATAATTCCCTTGATGCTGGGCTAAGTTGACATGGTTTTGGTAGGAGAAGGTTGCAAAATGTACAAGATGGTCAGGAACCAACTTGTGGAATGCAGGAAGAGAGCAGGACAGGGACTACAGAAAGCAGAAGCACAGTGGGAGTCAGCCAGTCAGGGTCTGGAGCTACACAAGCAGGAATAGAAGGATGACAGAAGAGTAGGTGACTGGCGAGATATTGACTTGTGAAGGAATAGCATAAGGAATAGGGACAGTAAAAGAAAAGAAGTCACCAGACACTGACTCTTGCTCTGTGCATAGAGGGAGCTGTGCAGTATCTGCAGTATGGGGACAGGGATACCAGGAAAGGTTTGGAGGGGAAAGATTAAGTGATTTCTGCATTTATTTAATCATTTGTCTTCATGCTAATTGACAGTCAACTTGATAAGCTGAAATGTCATAAATCAAAATGGCCTACTCCACTCTTGTCCCACTCTTATCTTAGTCATCCAATCACACTTGCCCCCACCACCTACATAGACATAATAGACCCAAAACATCATATAACATTTCCTATGATCTCAAAAATGTTGAAATACAACAGGAGTTATGAATCCTCAAACAGAACTATCTTCCCCACCAGCAGGACAAAGGAAGATAAATAAACAAGTCCAGTATGATGATATCCTTCTACTCAGCTCAGCTAAAAGAGCTCTCAAGTATCCAAGTAATGAAAAGCAAGTAAGAATGAAAATTTAT